TAAAGACATTTCTAATACAACAAGTACCTAACCAATATCTATCTGACTAAAAAATACCTAACAGCACAAAACAAAGAAAAACAACAAACACATGAGAGCGCGAGTAACCACGACCGCCATCACTGTCAACACCGGAAGTTGATATGGTGTTGGGATGGAGTCTAAGAGAAATGTTGATGATTTAGATGAAGCAACTGTTGATTTCAACTCGGAGAGATTAATGGGAGAGAAGTCTAAATATAAATGAGGTCCTGCAGATGTTTCTAAATCCATTATATTTGATGACACATCTGTGAGAGTTGTGGGAATGATTTGATTATTTTTTTCTCTAGTATGTTATTTTATTTGTAAAGACACTCATGAAGTCATTACTGCTGAGATCTAGCGGAATATTAATAAGCCCGCAGCCTGTTTTGGGGATTTAAATTGACGGCACCTCCCCGAAATAAAATGTGTATATCTCCGCAACCACACGGTGTATTTGGTTACTCTTGCTGTCAAACGAAAGGGAACACTTGTGAGATTTGTCAGGACGTGTAAATACCATTTGATGTGTTGTTTTTGAAGAGTAAATAAAGATGGAACACGGCACAGTTTGAGCTGACGCTCTCCTCATTTGCAGGACAATAGCTTGGTCCCAGATTTCCGCACACAGACAAATGACCCCTCATTGGATTCCTCTCGACCAATAGAATGAGGCTATTGAGTTTGTGACGTGATTGAAATCATTGTGGACCAATGGCAGTCGAAAAGACTGCACCATAAGGGCAGGGGGGCTTCTGGCCAGCACCAATGTAAGCCTGTTTCTATCCAGCCAGAACCCCCCTAACTTAGAAATAATAGTATTTTTCAAACAGACGCCATCTTTTGAGTCAGGAAATGCAGTGTTTGCATCAGAAAAACTTATTTTTCTACATAAAAACATCAAAGGTAAGATGAGAAATTTTGCTGTACTTTTCGCGAATCGATGTCTGTTGTTGAAGTTTGTTGGCTTGTATCTCTGTAACGCTTTTACAGAGCGTTTTTACTGATGTATTTATGGAATCTGTGGAGTGTGGGCTTTGTTTTGAGCCATGGCTAGCGGTGTTTTGATGGATTATAGTTGGTAAAATATGACAAAATATGAATCGTATGCCTGGCACAGCGCCCCCTAGGTGACCCGAGATGTTGCGTTTTTGTGCTTTATTGCTTTTGCTGTGTTTATTGTGTGGAAAAATGATTTATAGGACGTTGTAGCCGAGGTTTCGCTGAACATTTTTATACATTTATACATTGTTGGGGGTCGGCTATCACAACTCGCGTAGCATTCCTATATTTTCCGTTAAGCCCGAGCGGACCCTAATTAGGGTCCGTTAGGGTTTAATCATTTGTAGGATACTGTTAGAAAGCTCAGCAGACATCTGTGGTGTGCATGGATTCATGCTCCTTTTGTGGAAAAAGTCATCTACGGTGCTTTGTCACAGGGTCCTGAAACAGACAACAGGATAAAAAGTGGCATAATTAGAAAATGTGTATATGTGTAATAGAGATTTAACAAATTGCAATGTTACTGTGGACTATTTCATTTGTATCTACGTTTGTACAAACATTGTATTCCCACATATTCACTCTCGCCCTCCTGACAGTAGTTTAACAGCAGCAGTGCTGCAGGCGGATGAAACGTTTAACAAAAGAAAAACAATTACCGTGCATGGTGTTAGTGCTGTTGTGAACGCCATTTCTGCTTTGCAGAGCTGGCAGAGCACCATGTTGTTTGGTATCTGTTTAAAATACTGCCAAACCTTTGATGACCGCACTCGCGGTATTTTCACGTTCCCGGGACATGCCATACTGCTAGTGCTATGTGTATCCAAGCTCGCATTACTGCCTACTTCCTACTTATCTTCTTCTGCGTCCTTTTAAAGGTCGTGTGCCATCCACCTTTTGGCGCATTACCGCCACCATCTGCTCTGGAGTGTGAAACTGAAACTTGTCTTACAATATTTTTTTTGTTTCCTACATATGACAAGTCGACGATTAATATGCAAATCGACTAATTATCATAATCGATTAAGTCGAATAATCGCTACAGCCATAGTGACAACAAATGAATGTTGATCAGAACAGCATTAAATTTAGGGGACAAGTTTCTCACAATAAAATACAGGCAGCCAATTTTGTGAATTCCCCGTTTGGAGCCAAG